TCATGCATCCATTCATTCACCAAATACTGATGAAGCGCCTACGATGTGCAGGCACTGCACTAACTGCTGGGGGATCCAGAGTGAACGAAACCAGCCTGACAACATCCCCGCCCTCCTAGTGCTGAAGTTCCAGTGGGGAAGAGAGGGTCACTAGAGATCTTGCCAGGCAGTAAATTACATAATACATTAGAGTGTTGCCCTCTACCGGGGAACACTAGAACAGGATAAGGGGAGTGCGGTAGAGTAGCGCTAGTTGAGAAGGTGTCAGTTGAGCAGAACTTGGAGGAAAGGAGCCACGTGGCCATCTAAGGGCAGAGAGAACAGCGCCCAGGCCGGGAGCTGGTGTGTTTGGGGAACAGCAGGGAGAGCAGCATGTCTGGAACAGGAGGAGGGAGGAGACAGGTCAAAGGGGTAAACTGAGGGCCCTTGTAAGGATTTTGGAATGAAATGGGAGTTGATGGTGGGTGTTGAGCTGGGGAACAATTGGATCCGAGTGGGCTGTGGTGGGTGGGGGCACCAGTTAGGAAGTTACTGCTGTACCCAAGGGACCAGGATGGCTCAGACCAGTGAGAGCGGGTGCTGAGGGAGGTCCGGTACGTTTATTAATGTCTGGTGTTGATTCCAGAGTTACTTTATGCAAATACACGCAAGCGAGAAACCTATCCGTATCCCCCCCAACCCCTGGTTCAAAGTAGCATACTAAACAAAGTGAGCCGGAGGCGCAGAGAGGGCGAGGGAGCTGGTGACAGCTGCTTGCTCCACCAAGAAGCAGCTCTCTCCTACATGGCTGGGGGAGGGCCGGTGGCAGTGCCCTCTGGGGGACACCAAACATTCTACAGAAATCCCAAACCCATTCACCCTTCAACCTGGCCACCCATTTCTAGAACTGAGCATACAGACTCATCTACACATTGCCAAATGACTTACGTACAAGGCAACTTGTAGTTGGCAGTAGGAAAAAGTTGGACACGACCCAGTAGGGGTTTGGTTAAATAAATGGCAATATATCCACTCATACCTTTCCAGCTCCCTGGGAGGGGGGCCTGGGTTCCAGTTCTGCAGCGGTCCCTCCATCCCCGTCCGGGCTGCCTCCCCTCCTCGCCCTTCCTCTAGCCTTGCACAGTGTCTTGTGGGGCCTGCCTGGGTGCTGTCCTCGCCTGTGGTGCTGAAGACAGTGGGGCCAGAAACCAAGAGCGGAGAAGAGATGAGCAGGGAAGTTCAGGGTTCAGTCCTTGTCTCTGCCCTTTACCAGCTGAGTGGCCTGGGGCAGGCTGCTTAACCCCTCTGGGCCTCAGCGTCCTTATCTGTAACACGGGGGTGCCATGAAGATGACACCCCCAATGTGAAGCATTGGCATATTGAGAAAATGAGTGATAGTTTGCACGATATCAATTTAGGAACAATGAAACAGAGTGGTTAGGTTTTTGGACACTGGAGTGGTAATGCCTGGGTTTGAATCCCAGCTCTGACATTTATTGGATGATCTTGATCAAGTGACATGACTGCTCTGGGCCTCAGTTTTCTCATCTGTAAGTCGGGATGAATAACAGTCCCCGTGTCGTAGAGTGTTGTGAGGCTTAGATAAGTTAATTTCTCTGAGGCTCTTGGCACACCTCGGGGATCCTTAGTGTTAGCAGTTATGTCACTTTCCTCTCTCACAGTACCTCTAGCCTCTCTGTCCCCTCCCCAGTGTCACTCCCAGCCACACACCCCCTCTGCTGTGCTGGGGCTGGGCTATGAGAGGGAGAGCACACCCCACCGTGCAGAGGCCCTGGCCTCTAGCCCAACCTTGCCACTGACTTTCTGTGATTTTGAGCAAATCACTGTTTTCTTCTGGCCATCGGTCTCTGCATCATTAAAATGGGGCTAATGGGAGCGCCTGGGTGGCTCAGTCGTTAAGCGTCTGCCTTTGGCTCAGGTCATGATCCCAGGGTCCTGGGATCGAGCCCCGCATCGGGCTCCCTACTCTGAGGGAAGCTTACTTCTCCCTCTCCCACTCCCCCTGCTGCTTGTGTTCCCTCTCTCGCAGTCTGTCTCTCTCTCAAATAAATAAATAAAATCTTTAGAAAAAAAAAATGGGGCTAATGATACCTCACACAAGCCCCTGGGAAAATAACTATCTGCCTACAGGGTCACGTTCAAGAAAGCGAAGACATGAAAAATTACAACTTGCTGAACACATAAAGAATTATTCACCTAGCATTTGTCACACCCTGGCTAAGTACTAGGGATACCGAGGTGATTAAGGCATGGAGCTTGCTGTCAAGGAGCTCTTGGGTTTCTTGCTGGATTGTCAGTCCCCTTCAAAGCCCATTTGTGTGTCACCTCCACCAGGAAGCCACCCTGATCCCCACTGCCATGCCCTCCTTGGAAATGCTGGAACACTGACATTGTCTTTCTGGCCTTCTATTTATCTGAGTCCTTATTTTGTCTGCCTTCCTAATTCATAGGTTCATATCTTCTACCTGATGCATTGCTCTAACCTATTCACCCCATGCCAGTGCCCAGGCCCGAGTAGATATACTTGTCCGGAATCTTTAGGTTGCAGGTAACATCAACTCAATTCAAAGTGGCTTAAGCCAAAAAAAGAAGTGTATCGATGCATGAAACAAATGGTCAGGAGTATAATTGGCTTTAGTCATGCCTGGATCCAGGTGCCCAGAGTCATCAGAAATCCCTCCACCTTACAGCTCTGCTTTTCTTCTCTGATGCTTCATTCTTGGGCAGGCTCTCCCTGCACGGTGGCAAAGCCGGCCCCCCTCAGCTCCAGACCTTGTCCTCCGGCTTTGCATCCCAAGAGTCAGGAGGCATCTCTTTCCTGATAGCTGCAGCCCAAGTCCTAGGTCTAGATCCCAGTGGGTCACCTTTGGTCACAGGTTCATCTCTGAACCAGTCATAGTGATCTGGTGGATGGGATGGACCTGCTGGCCAGCCAGGCCTGGGTCCAGCCTGCCCCTAAAGCCTGGGTGGACATTCTACTGAACCGTGTGGCCTGAGAGAGGGGCCATTCCCTGAAGAAAGCAAAATTCATCTGAGAAGGAAAAAGCACCACAGGCTGACTCAAGAAGTCACTGAAAATGCCTGAGCAAGGCAAGGCGTGGGTCAGATGTGGTCTTAAGACATGGATAAGGAGGCCTCGGAGGGAGAAGCCTGGAGGTGGGAAAGGGGGATTGGGGGGTACCCGATGCGAGCTCAGCCAGGTAGACTAGGGGCATGAGGCTCCAGCCCCTCCCTCTACAAAGAATCGAAGTGGAGCAGGCCCCCCGTCCCCACGCAGTACCTGAAATAATGCTTTTGTCTTATGGCTGCTTTTGTGACACAGCTTTTCGTAATAAGACAGACCCAGAGCGGTGACCCACCGAGCCAGCAACAATCATATGTTCGATGGAATCCTTCCAGGCCAGGGCCTGGTTAAGGATACCCTTGGGGTTTGCCTGGGCTAAGGGTACAGCATGGGTGCAGTGACCTGAGTGAAGCGACCTGGGCATGGGGACAGAGAATCTTAGAATCCCAGAGTGAGAGTAAGAAAGGCCTGGTTGATGTCTCTTGGTCCAACCTCAACCCCTGCTGCCGATTCCCCAACAGATGGGCATCCAGTTCTCTGCTTCTCTACCCCCAGCGATTGAGAACCCATTTCCTCCCTGTTGTGACATGAGAACTGTCTCATTTTGAGTTGCTCTCTGCTTGGGTTTACCTTCAGGAGCCTCAGAGGACACTGCACAAGAGCATGGGACCTGAAGCCTGACAGCCTGAGTTCAAATCCAAATTAGTTAGCCCATCTGTATCCCTTTCTGTAAGATGGGGTGATCATAGTAGCGCCTACCGCCCAGACTTGTGATTGTTAAATAATTTAATCCATCATGGTTAGCCCAGCACCTGGCATATAGAAACACTCAATAAATATTTGCCCGTACTCTTGTTCTCCCATGAGACAGGATAAGAGCAGGCCCCCCCTCTCTTTACAGACTGGTCGCCCTCCAGGCAGTTGGACATACAGAGGTTCAAATCCTAGCTCTTTGGCCTCCTTGCTACATAATCCTTGGATTAGACTAGTAGCACTATAGCTGCTGTAACAAATAAGCCCCTATATCTCAGCAGCCTAACACAACGGACCTTTACTTCGGCTTCCATAGAATGTCAAGTGAGCAGCCTTCAACAGCAGGAGACTGCCCACAGCCAGGCACTCAGGCTGCTCCTAGCTCCACTGTCTTTTTTTTTTTTTAAGATTTATTTATTTCTTTATTTGAGAGAGAGAGAGCCCGAGCAGGGGGAGCAGGGGGAGCAGGGGGAGCGGCCCGCAGAGAGAGAGGGAGAAGCAGGCTCCCCGCTGAGCAGGGAGCCCGATGCGGGGCTCGATCCCAGGACCCTGGGATCATGACCTGAGCTGAAGGCACAGGCTTAACCGACTGAGCCATCCAGGCGCCCCTCCACTGTCTTTTAGGACCCAGGAGGCCTCTGTATCAGGCATGCTTAAAGGAGAGAAAATAGCGAAACTCCGCCCACTCGGAAGAAGCCCCGCCCAGCAGTGACTTCCATCATTTCTGCTCACATTCCATTGGAGAAACTGGTCACACCTGGCCACACCTGGCTGCCAGGCGGGCAGGAAATGTACTCCCCTGCTGACAACCGCCCTCCAGCAACAGCTCTGTATTATAAAAGAGGAAACCAGGGGCGCCTGAGTGGCTCATTGGTTAAGCATCTGCCTTCAGCTCAGGTCATGATCCCAGGGCCCTGGGATGGAGCCCTACATCGGGCTCCCTACTCAGCGTGGAGCCTGCTTCTCCCTCTCCCACTCCCCCTGCTTGTGTTCCCTCTCTCGCTGTGTCTGTCAAATAAATAAATAAAATCTAAAATAAAAAAATAAAAGAGGAAACAAAGTTTGTTTGGTTTTTTTTAAGATTTTATTTATTTGACAGAGAGAGAGAGACAGTGAGAGAGGGAACACAAGCAGGAGGTGTGGGAGAGGGAGAAGCAGGCTCCCCGCTGAGCAGGGATCCCAGTGCTGGGCCCGATCCCAGGACCCCGGGATCATGACCAGAGCTGAAGGCAAACACTCAACGACTGAGCCACCCAGGCGCCCCAGAAACCCAAAGTTTTGATGGACAGTTGGCTGTCTTTACCAAAACCATGGTAAATCACCAACCTCCTGGGCCTCTGTGCTTCATCTATAAAATAGAAAGTATCACTTGATCGTGGCAATGGACATTTACTAAAATCCTTGAATTGTATGCCCCACTGTGGGTAAATTTTGTGGTGTGTACTAAGTTAAGCTGTTTGTTTAAAAAGCAGGAGACCTCTTGCCCTTCTTCTCAGGTACTTATGAGGACTCAGTGAGTGAAATTTTGCCAGGCTGGTACTGTGTGTGTGTGTGTGTGTGTGTGTGTGTGTAGTAGGGAAGGGCGGTCCCAAAGCAGGCCTGAGTTGGGTTATGCATTGGGTGTAGTTCTCACAAGAGAGGCGCCAGCTCAAACCACCTGCCAACAGGAAGTGGTAGGCAGTTCGATGTTGCTTCTTGCTTGGGAAGCCCCCCCAGCGTGTGGCGGAAGACCCAGCCCACAGGGCCAGAGCCACAAGTGCTGCCGGGAAGGCCGGGTGACACCCCGCTGCCTTCGGCAACAGAGGGGAAACCGGGGCCTCCCTCGGGGCCAGTGAGGCGCGAAGCATGTGGGGTCCCCCGGAACAGCATGGTCAGCTTGAGCGTGGATGGTAATGTCAACCACACAGGATGGAGGCAGGGAGGGGAGCAGCCAGGGGCCTCCACCACCCGCTGCTGGAAAGTTCACAGCCACCCAAGTGCACGGCTGCTCCTTCAAGGCGAGGCAGGGGTGATGACGGTAAAAGAGTTTTAGATCAAGTTCCCGCAGATGCCAGGCGTATATGCCCTCAAGCCCTCGGGGAGGCAGGTGTGCCTTACTTCCCTCTCTGGCCTCGAGTCCCCCGCCTGAAAGAAGTTGCTCTGTCCTCACTGCTGTGGGGATTAAGTGAGTTAATACACGGGAAGCGCCTGACAGCCGGTCGGCTCTCCGCAGGAGCCGAGTGAATGCATGGGCAGCTTTGGCTCAGGCTTTGTGCTCTCCTGGGCCTCAGTTTCCCCACTTGGATATCCAGGGATCCGGATGGGACACTCCCAACATTCTGACTCAGGAAAACAGTGGTTAAGAGCGCCAACTTTGGAGCCAATCCCAATGCGAGCCGTCTGACCTTGGGCAAGCTGTCCGGGCTCTCAGCCTCATTCTCCTCCTCCCGAAAATGGGGGTCATGAGAACACCTACCCACTGAATCGTGAAGATGAGCTCATCCTTAGAGCTGGGCCCTGTTTCAGTGTTAGCTGCTGCTGTTGTCATTGTTGTGATTCTCCCCGTCGTGAAGGTGTGGTCACCGAGGCCCAGACAAGTGACTCGCTCAAGGTCACCCGGCTAAAAAGTGGCGCACGGCAGGATCAAGGGCAAGCCTGCTGAGCCCCGAGGTCCGTGCTGTTTCCGTCGCTCCCCACTGTGCCTCTTAAGTCACATGCGTGGTAACTGGGTCAGAGGCGGTGTGTACCTGGGCCACGACACAGCGACAGGGACAGCTATGTGGATTAATTCTTTGTCTCCTGCTGACGCCTTGCAGAGAACAGGCCGGAAGGGAGAGAGAGGTTGTGAAGGAGGGAGGGGTCAATAGTGAAGACCCCCAAAACTGGGCCCTAGGAACCAAAGGAAGGGATGAGGGCAAGTTGAATCAGATGTAGCCCCTACCCCCCGGGGACCTCTTGGCCTGTTGATGGGGACAGACAGGGGACAGAGTTGAGACCACCCCAAGACATTTCAACAGGAACCCTCAGAGAGAGCCACACAGACCCTGTGTGAATCCTGGGGCTCAGCGGAGGCAGGAATTGGCACCTGGGGCAGCAGGGAAGGCTTCCTAGAGAAATGGGACCTGAGGATTGTGGATGGGGCAGGGGGAGGTCAAGGCAGGCAGCAGGACCGGCGGAGGAGACGAGAGAGAGGCAGTGCAGGGTGGTGGTCACGGCGCGGGCTGAACCTGGAGTGCAGGGGGCAAATGTGGGACCCAGACCCACCCCGCTGTGGCTGGGCCCCTGGCCCACCCCAGTGCCTACACAGCGCAACCCTGAGGCCAAAGCAGCAGGGGACAAGCCATGCACCCAACAGCCCCTGCGTGAGGGAGGACGGGAGAGAGGGAAGAAGAGCTTCTAGCAACTTGCAGCTGCCAATCAGTCTCCCAGAGGATGCAGAGACAGCCCAAAATGACTAGCAGGGCCACAGCCCGAAGTGGGAGCGTGCACACGTGTGTGCGCATGGACGTGCACGCCCATGGCCTGCCCCGCGTAGCAGCCCTGGGGGAGGCCACACACGGCAGGAGAGGCAGGAGAAGTAGGTCAGCCGAGCAGCCCAGCAGTCTCTCACTGGAGAGCTCAAGGCAAAGAGGGTGTGTACTCCTCGGAACCCCTGGGGGAGAGGCCCGCACTCTCCCCAGAACGCGATGTCCAACTCCCTGCTGTATCAAAGCAGATGGGCTGCGTTTCCTCGCTCCGAATTCTTAGCGCCCCCCCCTCCCCCCCGGGTAGTGTGTGGGCATTTGACAGAGGTTGGGACGGGTGACCCCTTCCAGCGCTGAAAGCAAGGAAGGACCATCGTGGGGAGAGGCCGCCTACTTTAGCCTAGTTGGTGGCTTCAGTAAGAGCGACCCAGTGCTGTCCGGCCAGAGCTGGGATGGCATAGAGACTTGGTGACAGGTGCCACGGCCCAGCTGGGTGGCCGAGGTAGGGGAGCAGGACCCTGTTTCTGTGGGCCTGGCACCATCCCTCCCCCTGGGGGGGTTTAGGAAATGAGCTAGTCCAGGCTACAGACGGCCCCCTCTGAGGGCATCCGACAGACTGAAGGAATTAGGAAAAGCAAGGCAGTGGCTGTGGCGGGGGAAGGTTCTATAGAACAGGGCTTACTCATGAATGGAGGGGAAGGGGGCTGAGAGGGGGAGCAGGATCCTGAGGCAGCAGAAGGGGCAGAAGCCAAATCGGAGGAGGGGAGGAGGGGAGGAGGGCCCCCTGCTCCCCCAGCCAGCCGGAGGACGTGCAGATGGAGCTCCGTTTGGGGCTGGGTGGGAGGCCAGGAAGTTCCCTCCTGATGTTCCTCCTCTTTGTGTGAAGTGGGAGGCTGGGTCGTGCCAAGAGGGAAGGGGAAGGCAGAGGAGGAGAAGAGGGTTTGGGCCTGGAAGGGGAGCTGCTGGGCCAGGGTGAGCATGCAGGGCTCCCGGAGAGCCCACCCCTGCTCATAGCCTCCACGGGCCCGGCTAGAGGGAACACAGACCCACCACTGAGAGAGCACAAGGCACCTGGCCCTTACAGAGTGCTTACTGTGTACCGAGCACCAAGCACTCCACGGCTAAGTCCTTTAACAAGCCACAAGCCTGTAGGGAGAAGGCACTATTCTATCCTTTTTATAGATGGAAAACGAAGGCAAGGGAAGGTGAAGGTACTTGCCCAAGGCCATCCAGCTAGCAGGTGACAGAGCTGGACCCAAAGCCAGGCCAGCTGGCTCAAAATCTGCTTTTTCTCCCAGAGCCCTGGGCTGTCTTGCAGGGGTGGGGGCTGGGGGAGCACAGGCTGAGTCACCTGGGATTGGAGGTAGGAGGGAGTGAGGTGAGGGCACAGGAGGTGCGCCAGGAGGCAGGCTTCTGGGGCTCGGCTTCCAGAGGATTCAGTGCTGGCCTCTCCTGCGGATACACACACAGACAGGAGCACTCCTGCTCTGGAAGCCCGGCCCCCCGGCCCAACCCCCTCCCGCTTGACAGACAAAAAATGCAGGCCCCAGATGGGCATTCGCTGTCACCCAGCCCCGGACTCTCCCTGCTGCAGCTCTCTGCACCCCAACACCATCTGGGGACAGACTCAGTACCTCTGACGGGTGCGTGCAGTTTGTGTGGATTCCAAAGGGGTCAGTCAGGCTGTGAATGGGGAGGGTTGGGGCTTTGCGGGACGGGCGCCCTGCCTTGTGTCCGGGGTGGGGTGAAGCTGGCGGGGGGTCCCTGGGACTGCACCTGTAGCTGTGTGGACCTGAGCGGGGGGGGTGTTGTCTGTGGAGGGGCATCCTGCCAAGAGTTTTGTCTGACGCTACTTGGGTGAGGAATTTGATACAGTGATCCCTGCCCTCAGACTTCACCTTCCCCACCCCCTGCCTTCCATTCTCAAAAGCCTAGATCACCTTTTATGAGCATATATAATGCATGTATTCACTATTTATTGTCCATCGCCCCCCCCTTGGAACATAAGTCCCATGAGGATGGGATTCTTTTTTTTTATATGTAAAAGATTTTATTTATTCATTTGAGAGAGAGAGAGAGAGCACAGGGTGGGGAGGGGCAGAGGGAGAGGGAGAAGCAGACTCCCCGCTGAGCAGGGAGCCCAACGAGGGGCTCCATCCCAGGACCCTGAGATCACGACCTGAGCCGAAGGCAGACGCTTAACGACTGAGCCACCCAGGTGTCCTGAGGGTGGGATTCTTATCTGTTTAATGTTGTGTCCTCACGGCTGTGAACAGCAAGCCCCTGGTGAACAGCAGGTATGGATCAATATCTATGAATAGGAGCCCCCGTGTGAACTTGGTATATGGAGTGTCTCTGTGTGACATAAACACTTGTGCCTTGTCTGACGCAGCGTCTAAATGGCAGCCTGAGACAGATAGGCCAGTGGCACCCAAGTGGGGACTGCGGGTTTCTGCTGGGAGTGCTGGCTCAGGCCTGGCCCTGAAGCTTTGGGGAACGGGGATGCAGCAAAGATGCTTGTCGCCCCCTTGTGGTCATCTTGAGCCCGGCATCCCGGGACCCTAGGTACTGGGGAAGGAGGAGGTGGGTGGACAAGGGGGCCCTGGCTTGACGTCACATTTCATGCCATATCCCCCATAACAGGGAGAAGATGAGCGTGGGCTGCCCAGAGCCCGAGCCACCCCGCTCCCTGCCCTGCTGTGGGCCGGGGACTGCCCCTGGGCTGGGTGCAGGGGTGCCCCTCCTCACTGAAGACATGCAGGCGCTGACGCTCCGCACCCTGGCCGCCAATGATGTCACCAAGCACTACGAACTCGTCCGGGAGCTAGGCAAGGGCACCTATGGGAAGGTCGACCTCGTGGCCTACAAGGGCACAGGTGAGCCTCTGCAGGGCGGCCGGTTTTGAAGGCAGGGGTGGGGACTTGTCTGGGGCTCTCAGGTGCTCTCTTCGGGAGCCAAGAGGTCAGCAGGGAGACAGAGTTCGTGGTCCAGGTGGAGAGATGCAGCCTGAGCGGCCCAGGGAGACCTGAGAGGGGGTACAGGGCCCAGGCTGGAGGGTGGGCTGCTTGGGGACAGCTGAGGGGCTGACCCTGGGACATCTGGAGCTCAGGGGAGAAGTCAGGGCTGACCCCAGGGAAGTGGACAGGGCTGAGGGTGCGTCCTTGGAAACAGGGCACCATGCTTAAGGAGAGGTGGGAGATGCCGCTGGGAGGTCAGTATGGCCATCTCCGTTTCTCAGATGAAGACACTGAGACTCAGAGATCCAGTCACTCAGCTAAGGTCATGCAGCTAGAGAGGGTTCGAGCCAGGACGAGACCCCACTAATCAGCTCCAGAATCTTCTCGCTTAACCAGGAGCACAATGCCTTCCCCACAGCATAGGCTCACAGCGGCGCCCACTCGGCCAGTCAGGGACAGGGACTGCATGAGCTCCCACAGCTGCACACACCTGGGGCAGGGGGCTCCGTGCCAACTGACAGCTGCAGGAGGAACCACTTGCTCTCTGTGTGACCTTGGGCAAGTGGCTTAACCTCTCTGTGCCCAGGTTCCTCCTCTGTAAAATAGGGTAGCAATTCGGGCTGGCCCACCTCCTAGGGTCATTAGGAGAAGCAGGTTGTGAATGGGGAGTGCCGAGGGGAGGGCCTGTGATGTGTACGTGCTCTGTGGACACGTGTGCGTCCCCCAGGGGGGTACAGACGGCCACCCAAGCACAAAGTCCGGGACAATAGGCCTTGTGGCCCCTCACCTCTCAGTGTCTAATTCCTTCTTATCCACCCATTCAACACACATTCGTTGAGCAGCTACGATGCACCGCACTCTTGTAGGCGCTGGGGATACAGCAGCGAGCGAGACAAAGATTCCTGTGCTCAGGGGGCTACGTCCTAGCAGGGGACGGGGGTGGGGGGAGAGCCACCAGATGAAATCAGTATGTTGTATGTCAGGCAGAAAGGGAGAGCGTGGAGGAAGGAGCAGGCCGTCCTCACCGAGGGCTGCAGGTGGGTGCAGGAGACCCAGGCTGACCCCTGAGTCGCTGCACGGCCTCTGGCAAGTCCTTTCCCCTCGCCGGGCCTCAGTTTCCTACCAGTAGGATGAGGACAGACCCCCGCGGCCTCGCGGCCCGGACAGGCAGGCCTGGGGATGTCGGGTGCAGGAGCGCTGGGTCAGGGGCCTTCACCACTGCGGCTGCTGCCCCGTCAGGCACGAAAATGGCGCTGAAGTTTGTGAACAAGAGCAAGACCAAGCTGAAGAACTTCCTGCGGGAGGTGAGCATCACCAACAGCCTCTCCTCCAGCCCCTTCATCATCAAGGTCTTTGACGTGGTTTTTGAGACGGAGGACTGCTACGTGTTCGCCCAAGAGTATGCGCCTGCAGGGGACCTGTTCGACATCATTCCCCCTCAGGTACTTGGTGTGGTGGCACAGGGACGGGGAGGGTCCTCCGGCCCCAGGACAGACGGAGCGAGCAGCTACACCGGAACAGTGGGGGCCGGAGAGGGGAGACGAGGCAGCGGGGCCACCAGGGGCTTCCCAGAGCAGGTGCTCTGGAGTGGGGGGAGAGTGCCAGGAGGACTCCAGGCTCCCGGCTCTGTGTTTGGGGGGGGTGGGGGAGTCTGCGCCGGCGCCCAGGGGGCGAGTGGCAAGGCCTCTCAGAGCTTGGGTCCCTATAAGGGAGGTGACGCAATGGCTGCCGCCTGAGAGCGTGCTCAGGGCAGTGACCGGGGAGGAGGGTGCGGGGTGAAAACTAGCGGGCCAGGGAGGGAGCAGGCGTACCCCCCTCCCCGTGGGATGGGGGGAGGCAGCAGGGAGGGCCACGGCCAGAGGGGACTGGCAGCGGTGGGGACTGAGAGGCGGGAGCGGTGGCGGGGCGGGGACCGCCGTCGGGATGGGGGGGGCGGGGAGGAAGGCGGCCGTCCCTGAGCGCGGCTCCCCCCTCCCCCCCCCTCCCCGGGCCGGCAGGTGGGGCTCCCCGAGGACACGGTGAAGCGCTGCGTGCAGCAGCTGGGCCTGGCGCTGGACTTCATGCACGGGCGGCAGCTGGTGCACCGCGACATCAAGCCCGAGAACGTGCTGCTCTTCGACCGCGAGTGCCGCCGCGTGAAGCTGGCCGACTTCGGCATGACGCGCCGCGTGGGCTGCCGCGTGAAGCGGGTCAGCGGCACCATCCCGTACACGGCGCCCGAGGTGTGCCAGGCGGGCCGCGCCGACGGCTTCGCGGTGGACACGGGCGTGGACGTGTGGGCCTTCGGCGTGCTCATCTTCTGCGTGCTCACCGGCAACTTCCCGTGGGAGGCGGCGTCGGGCGCGGACGCCTTCTTCGAGGAGTTCGTGCGCTGGCAGCGGGGCCGCCTGCCGGGGCTGCCGTCGCAGTGGCGTCGCTTCACCGAGCCCGCGCTGCGCATGTTCCAGCGCCTGCTGGCCCTGGAGCCCGAGCGCCGCGGGCCGGCCAAGGAGGTCTTCCGCTTCCTCAAGCACGAGCTCACGTCCGAGCTGCGGCGCCGGCCCTCGCACCGCGCGCGCAAGCCCGCCGGGGACCGCCCGCCCGCCGCCGGGCCGCCGCGCCTCGAGGCGCCCGCGCCGCTCAAGCGGACGCTGCTGACCGAGAGCGGCAGCGGCTCCCGGCCCGCGGCCCCCGCCGTCGGGCCCGCGCCCGCGCCCGCGCCCGCGCCCGAGGCCGGCCTGGCGCCCCCGGGGCCCCCCGGCAGGACGGACGGCCGCCCGGACAAGAGCAAAGGGCAGGTGGTGCTGGCCACGGCCATCGAGATCTGCGTCTGAGCCGCCCCCGCCGTGCTCGCACCAGGCCGGGCCCGCGCCGAGCCGGGGGGGGGGGGGGGGGGGGGGTGAGAATCCGACCGCCCCCCCGACCCCGACCCCGACCCCCGCGGCGGCGGGGCGGGGTGGGGGGAGGAGCGCTAGGCTGGGCGGGGCGGCGGGCCCGGGCGCCCGGTCCGCGGCGGGCTGCGGCGGCGAGAGCCACCGGAAGACCTCTTGCCCCGCCTGTGCGGCGGGGGCTTGGCTCACAGGAGCCGAGCCCCGCAGACCCGAGGATTCAGAGGCACCCCTGACACCCGGAGCGAGGGAGCTTGCGGGCAGACTCCCCTCCCCAAAACACACACACACACCTCCCCTAACCCCGGGACCCTGACTAGTTGCTCCTAGCCCTTTGCACCCCCTGGCCGATCATCCCGCAGCCCCACCCCTGGTCCTTCCTCCTGGCCGCCCCCTCCGCACCCTCCCCGCACCCGGACACAGAAGGGGACGGAAGTGCTGGGGCAGAGAAGGGGCTACTTAGGGCCCTCGGATGCTGGCTAGGGGGAGGGCGACGAGCTGAGGGCAGGCGTGTTGCTCAGCTGCGCCCTGCCCCTTTCCTGGGAGGCTATACGGGAGAGGCCAAGCCCTCTGCAAAATGTAGCAAATGTCTGGATGTGGCAAAAGTGTGTGTGTGTGTGTGTGTGTGTGTGCCCGCGCAGCTACAAGCCCGAAGAATCTAGTAACCCTCACAACCCATTCCCCTGCGATGAGGACACTGAGCCCCGAAAGAGGGCAGCTTGCCCCCGAGCTGCAGGGACCCTGAGAGGTGGAGCTCTAGAAGCCCTCCCCCGCCTCCCCATGAATTGTCCCGCAAACTCGCCAAGGGAAGGGCTGCCAGGGTGGCGGCCCGGCATCCCCAGGGCGACAGGTGTGAGTGCAGAGCCCAGGGCTGGCCCAGCTCCCCCCAGCTGGCTGCACCTTCCCAGACCCGGGAACCTCAGATCCCCGAGCCCAGACACAGAGGTGATCTGTGCCAGGAATTTCCCTGGGTTTCTGCTGGGGACCGGCATGTCAGCTCTGGGCTGCCCCCATCCCCACGTCTCCCAGCTTCCTGGTACTGGAGTGGGCTGCTGTGGGTGTGAGGATGCTGTGGGAATGAGGGTGGGGGTCCATGGAAACGCGAGGGGGGTGAGTGCGCGAATAGGTGTGTGTGCGGCGTGAGTGTGAGTCGAGTGCCCGCGTTTGCGTGTAGTCTCGTGTGTCCAGCGATGGCATCCAGACGCCTCCGAAACTCCACCCGGCCCCAGGGTCCTCCCCAGGCAGTTGCCAGCGGGTGTCCAGGCCCGTGCTTCACCACGCGCCCCTCAGGGAATCTGGCCGGGAGGCACTGCAGGTGGGTTCAGGCCCTGAGGCAGCAAAACCGGAACCCAACCTCACCCAGTGTTCCCTCGTGACCCCTGCCCTCGCTGTGGAGGCCCGGGACCCCGCAATAACCTCGACATGGGTGAGGCCGCTCCTTCTGCCTGGCAGGGGCCCCTCAGCCATCCCGGGCCACACCTGCCAGGGTCCTACCGGGGCTCCAGGCCGTTGGAGGGGGCTCTCCGAGGAGCCCGGCTGACCAGAGAGGGCCCAACCACCCTCTGGCCCGGAGCCCCCACCTCTCTCCGCTCATCCCTCATTCCCACCGCGCAAAAGGGCTATAGGTCCCCCTGCCCTGCCTGGGTCCAGTTTACAAACAGCGTGCGGTTTGCCCCAGGACCTGGCCCCGCCCCCCTCGGTGTGCCCGCCCCTCCCGAACCCACCTCTGCCCTGGGCCCTGGGGCCCTCCACGCGCCAGGTAAGTAGCAACCCCTCCTCCCACCAAGGGCCACGTTTCAGAGAAGGGCCCCCCATCACTGCCCCCGGCCCACCTGGAGCCCATCCGGGCCACCTCTCTCTCCCAGCCGCGACTTCTCCTTTTGCCTTAGGCCTCTCGACATCCTGTCTCTCCTGCAATAACACGGACGCAAGATTCCAAGTAGATGTCCCTCGCCGTGCGCCCTCTCTCTCTCTTTCTCTGTTCAGATCCTATTTGGGAGTTTCTCCCTCGTCGTAGTATCTAGAATGTTAGAGCTGGAAAGGGGCCTGTAGTTCTGTAGCCCAGCGCCCGTGTTCAGAGGCACAGGGGGGGCAGCGACCGCCCGACACGTGAGCGGACCCGGGCCAGGCCCGCTCCCTCGCCGTCGGGGCCCTGCTGCTGCTGTCCCTGCCACCTCTGCTACTTGGGTTGGGACCCTTGGCCCCTTAGGAGAGGTGTTGGTCACTGATGTTTACCTCAGTTTATGTCACTGTCGAAGAAACAAATAGCAAAAAATTAATCACACCGTAGACATGAAGACTTAGAAGACAACACACAAAAAATCTTCCTCTTTCGATTCTTCTGTGAAGCTGTGTGTATGTGTGTGTGTGTGTCTCTCTCTCTCTCTCTCTGTCCCACCCTGGGCAGGCCGGGTCATCCCCGATCTCTGTCCCAGCCCCTGTGCCCCCACACTGCCCCTGTCCTTCGGTGCTTCCCAGAGGCCCCTCTGAGCTGGCCTGTGGGGTGTGGGGAGCCCCCTGGGCGGGAGGCAGGGCCACAGGTTATCTAGAGGGCCTCCCATCAGGCCCACTGAGAGAGCCCCAAGGCTGCCAATACTCCCTGAGCCTGTGCCGTGGCTGGTGGGACAGTCGTGGTGACAGCATCCGCGTCCAAGCCTGGCTCAGGGCCTGGGCAGAACCCCAGTTCCCGAGCCCCAGCCCCTCATGTCTTGCCACCGCCCCCCCCCCCACCATGTGTTTGTAAATACTCTGGCATCCTTTGGCCCCGAGAAGGTTTTTAAATGTGTTATTTACTTCTCTAATCATGACAATTGCTATAAAATAAAGTCTAGAAAAATCACCACTGAGTGGCTATCTTGTCTCAGAATACCGACAGAGTAGGGGGTGGGGCACACAATTATTCTTGAGCTGAAAGCTTGACAGATGTTCTAAAGTGGGGTCTGCGGAGTCCGAGAGCAGTTACTTCAGACCCAGAGGAGGCTTGAAGGCCACGGGAACAAGGACCAGGGTCTGGGAGGGAAGGGGCAGCGACTCGTCCCTGGCCCGATGTCCAGGTTCAGCGTGGAGCCCTCAGACTGGGCAGAAAATAGAAGCCAAAGCCCAGAGGAACAGAGTAGGCTGATTTACCCAGTCGTCACCCAGCAAATATTTACCGAGCACATTCTGCGTCCCACCCGGGATACAGCAGTGAGCAGGCCAGATGGTGTCCTGTCCTCAGGCAGCCAGCAATGGAATGATGGAGACAGACATAACCCACATTTAAGGCTGGCTGCTGGGAAAGTACGCAACTGGGAAGCTCATCAAGTTTGGGGGTGTCAGGAGCTCACCAAAGACAGAAAACCAGAGGATTCGGAGTTCTCTGGGCAGCGGGGCATGGCCGGGTGGGAAGAAGCTGAATGGGCAGGGTTAAAGGCAAAATGGAGTGCTGAAGGTCGGGGGGCTGGGCTGGGCTGTAAGGAGTTTCATGATTCCATATTCATTCAGCAAGAAGTTATTACCGTCTCATAGATAAGACCTTTCCTTCTGTTCCAGACCCTTCGATAGCTCCTTATGCCACCCAATCAAGGCTGAAGTCCTTAGGGTGGCCTCCAAGGTCCCGCCCCATCCCCACCTCCCCTCCCCCCTGGCCCCTAGGATCACCCAGCATGCTCTCCCCTCAGGGCCTGTACCTTTGCCTGGAACTCTCCCAAATCTCCCGCCTCCCTCCTGCCTCCCTCCTGTTCTTCAGGTCCCTGCTCAAATATCAAGCGATCAGAGAAGACTTCCTGGAGCAGAAGCCCCTTACCCTGAGCGCTCATCACCAGTCCCGATACCATGTTTGTCCTCCACCTCTGTCCGCTAGCACGGAAGTTCCGAAAGAACAGTCAGTGTTTGGCAAACTGCTATCCCCTCAACACCCCCAATGCCTAGGAGAGGGCCTGGCACAGGACAGACACTCCCTAACGATCTGTCAGCTTAATGAATGAATGCCCAATACTATTTTAGGCGGCGAGGATCCAGCAACAAACAAGACAAACAATCCCTAGCCCCTGAAGCTTACTTGCTGATGAGGAAAATAGACATTAATTCGATTACATAATTATCCATGAAATGCGGGTGGGGGTAAAAAAATAGGAAAAAAAAAATAAGAAAAGAGAAAAACAAATCCACCCAAACTAGATCAGAAGGGAAAGGACTCGTCCCCAAGAATTTTATCTAGGATACGTTAAAGAAAAACTGTCATTTCAAACCATCTTCCACTTCTTTTCAACGATAAGACTGGACACCCAGGGGCCTCACAGAACACTTTAATGGATTATTAAGGGGTGGAAGGGAAATCCACAAATGCAAACAGTATCTCTGGTTCCCCCCCTTGGTGTACAAATATCACCTTGGAACTGCCAGTGTGTCAGATAATGCCAGGACTTGCCACTAGGGGGCCTTGGTTTTCCGCCACTGTTGCTCTTGTCTGCCGCTTAGCATCACGGCGTAACTGCCCTGTCGCCACGCTCGGTCAGGCCCCAGGGACTTGACCAGAAGGGTTTCCAGCCCCTCCCACACACTATATCAGAGCCAAAGCAACCCCTGCAACCCTTGGGTCCTTCCATTTAGCCTGGGTCACCTGCCCTTGCTCGTGGCTAGTGCCTTCTCAAGGGCACTTGGTATCTTCTCCTGCCCATAGTCTTCAGGCTAGACTTAGTCTATCAAAGAGCTTCCAGTAACAGTGAACTTCAGAAGGGAAGGGATTGTATTCTTTGTATTCTCCCTTGTTTCCCAACATGCTCCTTGAGTCCTGCACAAGTTTTCCCAGCTACTTGCCAGTGACTGCTAAGCATTCCAAGACAAGGCATATTGAAATGGAAGTGTCTGCCTTCGGCTCAGGTCATGATCCCAGGGTCCTGGGATCGGGCCCCCAGTCGGGCTCCGTGCTCAGCGGGGAGCCTGCTTCTCCCTCTCCCTCTGCACCCCCTCACTCAGGCTCTCTCTCAAATAAATAAAATACTTTTTAAAAGGGGGGGCAGCCTCAGGGTCCCATTCTACCCTTCACGCAGGGCAGGAGATGCCAACTCAACGTACTTACATCACTGAGGGAGAGAGTCCCCAAACAGCATTTCTCTCTAAAAAAAATGTAGAGCCTTACCCCCCGCCCCCATCTAGTGCCTGATTCAGGGTGGAAATGTGGGTGTAAGAAAAGTAATTTCAAGTTATTTACTGGCAGTTGAGGGGAGGAGAATGTTCATCAACCCAGCCTTGCTTTAAGGTCAATGGAGAAATTGAGGGGCTTTCATTTGGAGCCAAAGAAGGGCAGAAGAGTATGGCAGCTCCCAAGGCCAAGGGTGTACAGAGGCCGCCAAAGAAGTAGGCGGCATAATCCACAATCGTGGACTGTACCCTTGAAATTTGCTAAGAGAGCATTACCTTAGGTGTTCTCGCCACACACACACACCCTCTCAAACCCTAACTATGTGAGGTGATACATATATTAGCTTGTGGTGACCATTTCACAGTATACACATATTTCAAAACACCAAGTTGTACACCTTAAGCAGATACAGTTCTTACTTGTCAGTCATACCTCAGTAAAGACAAGAAGAAGAAAAAGAGGTTGGCCGTGGCCTGACTCAGGAGACTGTGAGCCCCAGTTTGGAAATCCTCGGAGAGATCCTGGAGGGGCCTGGTTGTCCTTAGTATGTGGCAAGGGGGCTCAAGTCATTCTATTTTGATGTTAGAGGACAAGAGGGGGTGCCTGCAGAAGGCGGAGGATTTGGGGTTATATATATATATATTTTTAAAGATTTTATTTATTTGACAGAGAGAGATACACAGCGAGAGAGAGAACACAAGCAGGGGGAGTGGGAGAGGGAGAAGCAGGTTTCCTGCTGAGCAGGGAGCCTGATGCGGGGCTCGATCCCAGGACCCCGGGATCATGACCTGAGCCGAAGGCAGACGCTTAACAACTGAGCCACCCAGGCGCCACCGTTTTTGTTTTTTTGTTTTTTTTTTTAAAGATGGGGTTATATTTAATTACAGTTGTGATAAGGATCACGGGATGCTAAGACTAATGTAAGAGGTAGTAGACATCTGCTATTTTTGCCTGTTTTGCACCTTCACCCCCCTTATAGTTGATAGCACCCCAAGTTTCCCTTGCATGTTCTTGATCCATGTGGTTCAGGTGGTGCTGACCTCCCCCCCCCCCACCCCGGTTGGTTCCGTGGCATGGCCACATGACCAGGGCTGGTCAACCAGCACATTCCTTCCCCTGAGCCACAGCAATTGGCTCAGACATGGACATATAAGCCAAGCGAGGCAGGTCCTGGCCTTTCTCTACACTTATTAGGGGCAAAGTGTTCTCTTTTCACTAGATTTGCTAAGTTTGTGCGATGTAAGGCTGGACCTGCTGGTGACCATCTTGGCCACCGCACAGGTAGATTCTGTCCAAGCATGAAAACCACACAGAGTGACTGAAGCAGGGCCAAGAGATTAAGGGAAAAGGAATCTGATGACATTACTTGAACACTAGGATCCAAGACTGAAATTAGATATAAATAGGTTTTCCAGTCACATGAGCCAATATGTGCTCATAAATCCATTTGAGTCTGGTAGCCTGCAAGTAAAGAAGTTCTGGCTAATATCCAGAGAAACTTAATCCCTAAGGCCCCTGAAGCGACCCGTATCTCTGGGGCCCTGCCTACAGCATCTCCTGACCAACAAGTGACCTTGATCAAGAGAAGCCACTGAGCCTTTCCGAGGCTGGATGCTCACTTCTGAAGCTGAGACTACCAGAGTATTCGCCAGGACCCATTTGGTCCCAAGAGACAGGAAACCCAACTTCTTAAATTTTTTAAGGATTTTATTTATTTGAGAGAGAGAGAGAGAATGAGCAGTGGGAGGTGCAGAGGGGGAGGGAGAAGCAGGCTCCCCGCTGAGCAGGGAGCCCGATGTGGGGGCTCGATCCCAGGACCCCAAGATCATGACCTGAGCCAAAATCAAGAGTTGGCTGCTTAACTGACTGAGCTACTCAGGCGCCCCTGAAAACTTCCTGAATTTGATGGAAAACATGAATCTGTCCATCCAAGAATCTTATTGAACATTATTATTTGCTATTTATTATTCTATTAGCCGAACCATGTAGTAAATTATGATCACCTTTCCTTTCTGCACGACCTTTTATTTTCTAGGTGTTGGTAATTTTCTTTTTTTATTTGTGTAGAATAATCTATGTACTTATTATTAATTCAACCCCAATCTCTTCATCAGTTGTTTACATTGT